ATAAAATTACCAACTCCTTTCTCCGTTAGTTACCGAGATGGTATAACCGATGTACCCTAATCACTTCTTCCCTTTGGCAGAAGAATCTTGTCCGTCTACAAGATCAATTGTATCTACAGATTCGATTTTACCAGAGAAAAAAAAACAGATTTCCATAGGAAAGTATTACCCTGGATCTACTGAATAGTTCATGTTGTTCAACGAGGGAAGAAACTAGGTCCAGACAGTCTACCTATGCGTTCACCATGTGAATTCCAGACGTTCATTCCAGACGGACGGCATCATTCTAACGGAAACCACTTAGAATCGCAATAAATCGAGATGGGAAACGGACTATGTATTTCCTGACGCCACCAGGAACTCCCTACGTATCCTTCTAACACGATATCCACTGTGTTAGTACCCCCAATAGGGGGAGGGCAAGTGAAAGCACGAGGGTAGAGCCTGGATAGATGGACCCTTGACGTGGATGAAAACCGTGGCTGTGCTCGGCTATGGAGCACATCGGGCAATCGACGATCCATCCAGTGGGCTCCCAGTGTATGTACCAGGGAACAGAAATTGTTATGTGCCCCGGTCCGGTCGTCGTGATCCGAATGCTCATGCCTGTCGGCCCCAGCACGGTCATCCAGCGACGACAACCGAGAGGAGACAGGAGAGGAGAGTTTCGTGGCGTGGCTCCGAGGGAGAGCTTTCTTCGGCGAGCGTGTTATGTGTATGGGTGTGTGTACGGTGGTACCTCCCGATGTACGCAACGAGCACACATGTACAACAGGGTGATGTCCACGTTACGGGGCGGAGAGTGGAACGAAGAAATCCGTGGCGGTTAAGTAGAGAACGCGTGCACGCCAGGCGACACAGCTCGTCAAAGGCGATTGTCCGTCCACGCGGAAGCGGAGCCAGCGAGCATCTATCTATCTCCCCCTTTCTGTCTATCTTTTTCCGTGTGTGTATGTGTGTGTGTGCCAGTTACGGGCGTGCAACGTCCAAATTATTGAGCCGTGGGCGGAGGAAGACGACGAATGCTTTCGCGACGCACATTCCACGCGTCTCTCTTTTCGATGCCGGTTCCAGGTGAAAAGACGGTTCTAGAGCCCTGCCTCCTCCCCCTCCTCCTGGTAATTATTGGTAATTATTCTCAGAACATCGCGCCAACGAGCAAACCATCCAACCTAATAGATCAAAACCCATCCATACATACAATAGACCATTAAACTCTCCATCGTGACTTTTCTAGCCAAGGATCCACGACCTCCATCGAAGGAACGCTGTTCATCGTTTCGAAAAGGCATTCCGCAGAACTAATCGTCCAAGGGAATCCCCAACGATTCCGTCAACCCCGCCGATGAGTATACAGTCGGTTCCGACTCGCGATTCGTTAAGAATCTCGAGAAGGTGTTGCTCATTTTAGCCGAATCGCGACCAACATCCTCTCTGCGGTCGTCGTGTGCGGCATCAAGATCCGCTCATTGTCTCTCTAATGCATATTGACTATTAACAGCAGATCCGTTCGCCATATACGCGTGGATAATAACTACGTCACGTCCTTATTCGCCGGCCCGAGTCGGCCATCGCGCTCCGCGCTCATCTTCGAGCCGGTGTCCATATTCGGCGGTTCCAACGACACACACGCGACACCCAGGGCTTCGTAAACGATGATGCCTCGCCCGTTCGCCGTGGATTTGATCCGTCGACATTCAACGGTTACACACAAGACGGCAAAAAGAAGAAGGAATCGGGATTCATGCGATCGCGCAGTAACGTTAGCTGAGATACGGCGCGCTTAAAATAGATCTACACGGCGATACCAGCTGGAAGCGTAATTAGCAGGCCTCGATTACTCGGCCGGTATTCCACGGAAAGTGCGTTGTTGTTTCTATTTTCTTTTAACGACCTTGCTCCGATTCGCCGCTCGCGGAAAACTCCGATTAGCGGAACGGACGACGATGCTTTCTGGTGTCACTTCGAGCCTCTATTGCACTGCGTTGGGAAATTCTACTGTCCTGCAATTATGATTATCGTACTAACGAAATATATGTGCTCCGCGTGAAATTCAAATGTTTTAAATGAGAAACTGTTCATTTCTTATCCTTGAATGGTGCTATCGATCACAATAGTCCATCAGTTAACCAACAGGGATGAAACCATTCCTAGATACTTCTAAGCTCCATCTTCTGGAAATCATGCGATCTATCAAAACAAAGATAAGTGTAAATTAAAAAAAAGGTGGAGTAATAGGTAAGTGTCTCTGTTAGTTATTCAGTGACATATTATGAAGAAGTGTCTGCTCTATTTCGGTCGAGAAGGTGCGACAAAATGGCAAGAGGAAAGCATTCCTCTCGCGCGACCGATGGGAACGATCGAAACCGATTTCTTGGGTCGGGCTCGTTTGTTTGTGTGAAATCACCGTTGAAATCTCACGCGAGCCGGGTACCAATTGGAAGATCAAGATAAAGATCGAGCTCGAATTCTTTCGATTCGATTCCGCTCTAGGTAGCATTTGTACATACATTTGGAAGAGTAACAGACTGAAGATACGGGCTAATTTTTTCATACGTGTTCACATAGCTACAATTACGTCAAACAGCCTGATGTAGAAAGGTCCGGAATGGCGACGTAGTCAGAAGTGCAGGAAGAAGACTTCCTCGATATAGAGAATAAGAATGAAGACCAGAGGTACCTAATGTAAATTGACGGGGGAGAAAGACAAGAGAATACACCTATGTTCGAGCTGCTAGCGGGAATTAAGTGGAATTCTAGATAAGACCGAACAAGGACGATAAGGATGAAAGAAATGAAGACAGATGTTAGAAGAACATGAAAAGGTAAGTAGCACTGGAGTTCAAGCATGCCGTTGAATCGTCGTTGATTTGGTTATTCGAAGAAAAATGGAATTTGAGGTTTCTAATAGGAAACTGTACAAGTATTCGATCATGAAATGATTAGACCGAGGATATTAATACAAATTTCATCAAAGAAGCATGAACTACATCAAGAATTCAGAAATCTGCACGGGGCTGGGAGTAACATTCTGTTTGAACAGAAGAAATTAGACGACCCGTACCAGCAAAAATCCCAAAAACATGCAGCAAAACCGGATGAAAAAATAAATCCTCGAAGAGAACCAAATCGGAAAAGTGAACAGTAGGAAGTCGAAGATAACCGTGTGTACTTCGAAGACGAAAAGAAGTGCATAAGCGTGGAAAAAGAATGATCCTAGGTGGGGAGTGGGAGGGACAGAGAAAGAGGAAACCAAAGGAAGACGAGAGGGAACACGTCGTCGTCGTCGTCGTCGTGGTGTGGTTTCGAATGCGTCGCACGATTCGCTACGAAATCTCGGATTCTATTAACGGAGAAATTATAACGGACTGACGGACGCAACGCACGGGGATGCACGGACGGATGGACGGAGCCGCCTCCTGTCTCGCGAGGCAAGATTTCTCTTGAATCGTAAATACCGATCGGGCCACGGGTGGAACGATATCCACTAGCGGTTAGCTCGGTTCCATGCCCGGGCAAGGCCTACACGTTGCATGTTCAAGTACTTCCCGGTACAAATTGTACCAGAGGAGAGAAGGACTGGCCGCTGGTCGGTTTATGCAACCTGGATAAGGAACACATCCGTGTCGGACCCTGCTCGATTCAGAGGGAGACGCGCCCCGCCTGTGACGAGGTGGAAAACGATGAACACTCACACACAGACTGTCAACTGATGCGTGCGGCTACGCGGAAAATCAGCGTGCAAACGCGCGCCGAGCCGATCGTTCCGACGATTTCGAAATCTTCGAAGACTGCACAGCCTGGCGAACGAGCACAGACGAACAGGAATGAACGCTGTTGATCGTCGCGTTCGTATGGCCGAGTCATCGCTGAACAACTAGTCGATGAGGTACAGTCGCTAAACTGTTCATGACAACGACGAAGGGAGTGTAGTTATTACACGTATACACTTCATTCTGTTTTTCACACGATTTTGAAATGTAATTTCTTTTCTCGAACGATTTGCTCCGCTCAATTCCAAGCGAAGATATCGCTACTTATTTCTCTAGGTAATTGCTCTCAGTTAATAGAAAATTAATAATCGGTTTATCGTCTTCTTTTTAATCGTTTCTTGTGATCTGGAGAAAATCCTCTAGTTCTTCGCGGTACACGAGTTGTTCGGGACCGTATATATCGTATGAGAATAGAATTAAGTGTAATACAGTGAACAACGAAAGTGTTCGGAAAAAAGGTTTCAGTACTTACGTAGCCGCAATGAGTTTTCTATAATTTGTCTGCATACTGTGACTCCTCTGCACCCTCGAACTGCAATGTGGTCCCCGGTTGGCGATTGCGTGGATTAGATATGATGTTCTTTTTGTAGTGCACCGAGTCCCTGAAACGATTCACAATTTTAAGAATATACATGTACAGGAACAACATTATAAAAATTATCCAATCGACACTTCACTTTTTTTCTTCAAGTAAATTCGTTCGATTGGCACCCGTGAAGAAAAAAAAACTGAAAAGCGCGGATTCCTGACAAACGTCTCGCGTCCTATGTGTCAAACATGAGATAGGTAATCGGATTTCCGTTTATAGTAAAATGAAAATTTCCTGAGGTAAGTAAAATGACAATATCCTGTGTAAAATTCTTCTAACAGTTTCCACAATATTTCATACACCCTCGGATTCAATAACAATTTATTACACCGTAGGTGCAAGAAATCATGCATTTGATTAAGTATTATTTCGATGCGAAAAAATTTCTGTGACGTCAAAGTTGAATGCAAATTAGCCTGGAATAATTCATTTCTTAGAAATGACTCAACGATGTAATTAAGTACACTAATCAACACCGTCGCAAAATATGATTCGGTTACGTCTGGATATCAGAACCCAGTCGCAGGAAATTTACAGCGAAAACACGTTTGTTGGATCTACGCCTAGGATTATGGTCTATTGAAACATGATAAATGCCCAGTCAGTGACCGAAATACGTGGGATATAATTCTTTCGCGATGTACGAGCCAAAGAGCGCCGGATTGTCGAGAAATTACCGAAATATTTGTAACAACAGACCCAGTGACGCAGGAGGTATTTTCAGATACAAAAATTGTACGAGACATTCGTCTGGAATTTTTACTGCAATCTCATTCTTTCTATGTTCTATCCTAGAAATCAATACAGTCTACAAACATCCGGACATTATCCACGTTTGCGAATTCATAAAAGACAGATTCTATTTTGCAACGTTGGCCAATGTACGGAAAGATGCGCGAACCACGTCGAACATTCTTTTTTTCACTATCGACGACGAGCTGATTTACAACAATTTTTACAACGACTTCGGCCCATTGAATATCGGTTGCTTGTACAGGCGAGTCTCTTAACTAAAATAAACGATTACTATCTAATTCCCTATCTTCACCGAATCTTGAATATTTGAATAATTCGACAAAATTAACATTTAAGCTAACGTTCAATTCAGCAAGATAAAAAATTTCAGAATTCCTTGCATTCACAGTTTTCCTAATAACGCAACTTTTTGATATTTCCCCTCTAAATACGTGGAATATTATAATATATTTATATAGAAAATGAAATTTTACGATTGTACAAACGAATCGCAGATATTGCTGCAAGGTGAACAAGAAGCTCCAGAGCCCTGCGAACAAGAACAAGCGAATTGTACATTACACATCGCAAACGGAACACAAGAGAGCGAACGCTGCTTATTTAGTGGCGTCGTACGCGGTGTTGTACTTGAACAAAAGCCCCGAGGAGGCTTACAACGCTCTGTTTATGGGAGGAGATGTACCACTGAAACCGTTCCAGGACGCCTCCATAGGAACCTCTATTTACAAACTTCATATACTAGGTGACAAGCTTAAAATAAAAAAGTTTCATGACAATAAATTCATGGTGGAATAACAACCCATACAAGTAGTCTGTAAATGTTCTGTTAAATAAAACGTAAAATAAAAACATTACTGCACTACATTAATGTCTTTATTTTACTGTTTCGAAAAAAATTCAAATATATTATCTATTTGGTATTTACACGACAGATTGCTTGAACGCGCTCCAGAAAGCAGCTTCATTTGGATTTTTCAATTTCAACGACTTCGATCTCTTCGAATACGAGAAATACGAAGACCTGAGGAACGGTGATCTGAACTGGATAGTACCGCAAAAGTTTTTGGCGTTCGTGGACCCAAGCACCGAACTAGGGATCCACTACAATCCTCCTGAATGTTACATCGACTATTTCTTACGAAATGGAGTCATCGCTGTGGTCAGACTGAACAAAAAGACATATGATTCATCGAGGTACAACTCATGTCAGAAAATAAAAACTTTCGATGTTATTAGTCATAGAAATTTCAAGAACGAAAACTTTCAATCGGAACTCGCTTCTAACTTATCAGGAAAATATTTTGTGAATATATCGCTACCCAATTGACAATATTTTACCCCTAGTTTCTCCGAGGCAGACATCGCACATTACGATATGTTCATGCCAGACGGTACCGTGCCGCCAAAAAGGATTTTACATCAATTCCTCGCGCTAAGCGAAAACACCACCGGGCCCATAGCAGTTCATTGCAAGGTAAAACATTGAAATATGTCCATTTCTAAGTAGAATTTTTATATCTCGTATATTCATTTTCTCGTTTCATTTACCGGTATCTCAGGCTGGTCTAGGGAGAACGGGTTCCCTAATTGCTGCCTACTTGATAAAACATTACAAAATGACAGCGAGAGAAGCCATTGCATGGATAAGGATTTGCCGACCCGGTTCTGTTATCGGCCACCAACAAACCTGGCTGGAAAACATGGAGAAGAGTTTGTTAAACGCGGGCGAACAGTACAGGTAATCGAACAAAATCGCATTTTTTTACAGCAAACAAATTGCTACTGACAACATTTGAAGAGTTTACAATGTTAAGCCAACGACTGTAAATCAAGACCTTGCTGGGAAACATCTAAAAGTAGTATACTCAATAGGGTGAAATAACTGTTATCTAAAAAAAAATTGATCTAGTACTGTAAACGATTTCAATATTGAGCTGCCAATTGTAAGTCAATGAATTACTAGGTACATACAACCTAACAGAGTAATATCAGATAGTAATAGCACACCCTAAACACCAATTTATTAACACAGCAATGGTTGCAGTTCTATATTTAATGATATTCTTTCAGAAATTTCATGGTTTCATTTCTATGGAGATGGAAAACAAAATAGGGCCCCTTTATTGAGCATGTGCCTAATTTTGTGATGAAATCTTTAATGGTGTATTTTGTATGCTTTAGACTGAAGCACTATGGAGATGGGGATGTGATACTGTATCATAAGCAGGGAATATATTCAGTGGCAGACAAGATGGAAAGGAGCATACATGGGTCTCCCCGCGATCGATCTACAGGTAAATGTTTCTACTTACATCTAAACATATTAAAAGTATGTGCATGCAGTGAAGCATCTTGTAAAATGGCCAAATCCATAAAAATAATCAACAGTTCACCTAATACAATAAAAAAAATATTTCTCATTTTTATTAGGGTATTATAGGATCTAACACAGCAATCTAAGTAGGACATATATACGAATATACATATTTATTCCAAATGAGCTTTGGCGTAAGAATTAAAGGAATGTATAAGGGTAAATTTTCAAACGTTTCAGAGTCCAACCAACATAACAGTTCACCGACAGAAAAATCAAACAAGACGAAATTCACTCGAATTCTAGGTATGTTCGCCACAATTATTAATTCTTTATGATCTATTCTCAAATTAGTCTTTGTAAGACTAAATAAACGAAGGTTTAATAATAATTTAATACAGTTATGCCAGTATTTGTTATCAAAAATACACAGTACGTTTGAATGAATTCAAGGCCAACGGTTACCATGAAATATTTCAGGTTTTTTATCGTAAAAGAGTTATTGATTTTCATAATTATAAAGAGATACTCACAACTACACGCAGATAAGCTGAAACTATCATTGGGGCAACGTTTCCGCGGTTATTTTTAATCAAAAATGTAGAAATACAGCAGCACGAAAACAGTCCACCTTCCGTGTTCACCATTCGCGACGGTATACACTACACAATTAGCGCGTTTAAACTGGTCCATCAAGATGCGCGCGCATCTTGGTTAACTTTCTTTTTTATCTTAAATTCAGTAATTCTTCTTAAGTTCTTTAAGAATTACAAATACAAAAAGAATAGAAGATAAATATTCTGTTTGCAATCGTTGTCTAGCTTCTCCTTTATATGTAAATAACTGTCTGAGTAAAACATGTAAAGATATTTTATTGCGCGCCAAGTAACGCGAACACGACATCTATCAACGGATGCGCGCGCAGCCAATCTGAAACCCATAATACGAATCAACTTTAATTGACTACAAACAAAATAATTTCTAATGATTATTAGTAATGCAATGTGACATACATATATGCACAGTAATTTATTATGCCTTTAGAAGTATTTAAGAAATTAGCAACTTTCAATGAATAATATGGTTTGATATAATTAAAGTAAGTACGCACAGCAAGAGATTTCGCGCTTTTAATGGCATCTATGCGTGCGCATGTAATCTAAAAAACGGTTACAGATGCGCGCGCATCCAATCCTAAATGAACGTTATCGATGCGCACGCATCTAATTCTAAAAGCAATCGTTTAAGTGAACCCTAAACAAAAATTAAACCTATTGATATATGTCATTGTTTTGTTCCCCCTCCTAATTGTGCACACGATAAATACAACAACAAGTGAGTTATAAATAAGTCTTTTTATCTCATATTTACAAACAGAACGGGACTGTATGATAATTCAGTTACCAGAGCTTGGATCATGAAATGAATATGACTATTGCTTGTTATACACGAATTTGAATTTTTTCATGAAATAATTTTCCGTTATGTATATTTATCGTAGGAAAGTTAAGGAACATAAGAGGGACAGATGACTCAGAGAAAGGATCTCACAATCAGAATCCACGCACTATGACACAAGGGGATCGACTGAACGAAATTAAAATGAACAAGCACAAATTGTCCAGGAGTTCGGATTCGAATCAGAAGAATTACCTTTCCTACGGTCTCGAGAGTCTGAGAAACGTGCGTAAAAGGAAATAAAGAGGTAAACGATAAACAAAAATTTGCAGTTTTATTGCAGTTCAAAACACGATCGAAGCGAATGACTGTTTAATCGATCGATCAGTAAAATTATTTCTTTTGAAGAAATACATGAGGATTGTCGAAGCTAGACCCGCGAAAGAGCAAAATGATTCGGTAGAAAAATTATTTTACACGATTTTATAATCCATTCAATACAAAATGATTTCTTTTTTGTCGTATAAATTAAGCAGAGATTTCTCTAGGGGAATTATTAAAAGTAATTATATAGAGAATACAACGCCCGAACGTTTCACTCACCCAGTAACTTTTTTTTCTTATCTTTTGTTACGGTTACACGTGACACGCAGTTCAGCGAAGGACGTTCAAAAAATTTCTGTGCCCTATATATTTACTTCGGAATAATTTCCACGCAAAAATAGTTCATCGTAGCGTTGACAAAACAGGAAGTATTCGAAATAGAATTCGAGAAATAAGGACAGGCGCGATTTCCTAGTTGCGCAAGCGCCGTCTGCATCTCCGAAATTGTCTAACAATTATGCATCGATTAACACTTTACTTTTTCGATCGCATTTCCCCGTTTTATTTTCAAATGTAGACGCAATGAGATCAATTAGTCTTCGAATTCGAATAAAATTCAATGAGAGGAATAGAGTAGGAAAATTTATAAGAATTCGTCGGACTTTCGAGAATATATAGTTGAGTTTCACTAGATCGAGTGAATAGGAAAAGAAGCGGTCGCAATTCAGTGCGGTTAAAAGTGTTAATCAAAGTAATTATCGTAACATGCTTCACATGTCCATTGAATGGTCTTCGTTATTATATTTCACGATTATTATTCGTTACAGATCTTATAATCACTGTAGATTACCAACTATCGAAGTTTATACGATACATAAAACATAGCTTCTGTTCATACCCTATAATTAATGGGAACAATTCGGAATAGGGTATACGATTGTGCAATGTAACATCCAAGTGAATTCAAATTTGTAGAAAAAAAAAAGAAGAAACCAACTTTCCGTTGATAGCTGCGTCACGGCAGATTTACACAGGAATTAATTGTTACATTTAAATACTAAAACCATTAACGACTAATCGGGCTCTGCGATTACAATTATACCGCAACATTACCTAACTGCACAGAGAGATAGAGAGAGAAAGAGAGAAGTATAAGAAAGTATATTATCAACTAAATATCATTTTTTTGTTGTGTTAATGCAAACGAATAGTCAATGTAATTATCGAATCTTAAAATCTGGCATATCACAATGGTCAAAGTGTACATAGACAGTTGTGTAAAAAAAACAGGCCTTCTGTTCATTTTTCTTACGCAGCAATCATACATTTTTGCTTCGTAAACAACTGCATTGTCCCAGTACTCCTTTTTTAAAAAGAGAAGTCATTGCTACGTTAAGAAATTAATGTATAGTATATTTAGGATACTATAATTCACATTTTTACGTACAATTCTGTACAGAATAAATGGGTAACACCATTTCTATGCATGTTATGCCTCACAGTTCTCGTACCCAAACACTATCTTTTATTCCAGTGTTAATTTTTTGTTCATCTGCCTATTGCTCACAGCATATGTTACAAAATTTTGTTTTACGAAAGTGGAATATCTTTTTTTGTACTTGCACTAAGCACATTATTACATTTTACAATTAAATCATTATTGGTGTTGCAATCTCTGTAGATTTATCGTCAACTATCAAAGTTCTTATTATCCTCTGGAACTACTTCCTTTTTTTTTAGTTTATAGAGCTCAGATATTACAGTTTTGATTGCTCACACAAAACCTCTTTCTTTGTCAACTATTTTTAAAACTTATAACCAAAAGATAAAAACAGTATATTAAATATGATATTATCGAATATTGCAGACACTTGTACCCCTCAGTTGATGTTTTTGATTTTTTCACTTTTTTTGTTTTTTTTTTGTTTGACTTCCTTGATAGATGCATCCAAGGAAAAATGTAAAACATTACAAGCAACAATACGTGATATTCAGAATGATATCGCGTGGTCTCTGAGCCTCACGCTGCATCGCCTCTCTCGGTAATCACACGCATTACTTTCATCTAACGTCCTTGCAAATGTTTCAATGTTACATTAGCGTTAAAAAATTTCATCGGTGTTCTCGCACGCCATTACTCTTTATCACTTTCTTTTATCACACAATATTTCACAGTAGATGTTATTATGCGATTGCCAACACTAAAACTTGCCTATTCTCTTATGTATATATTTTTTTTTATCATCTTTCCAATGCCATTCCTTCGTTTGCTCTTGACAGAGCACTCTATAATGCACCATGTTGTATGAATTATCAAGGTCACGCCGCTCTGTATAATGTTACACTTGCAATGTGTTGATTCGCCATGACCTCGACGATCGCATCGCGTATACCGTAGCAAAACGTACATCCAAATGGATTTGTTGTGTTCGTCGAAGACGCTCGATTCAAGACCACCGGTCGTGCACTCGCCTTCAATTGCTCGCTTATTCTATCCCATTTTGTATAGGCAGTGATCTAAAGAATAAAAAACTATAAATATAACTATACTACGGATGTTCATTCAAATTGTTGATGCATTCGTGCTATAAATGTATGAAATCTGCAATAATGCAACAATAGAAACCACAAAGTAACAATAATAAATGACTAACAACGTGTGCACAATCTGATTGTTTGAACTATCATGACCATGATTAGAAGTATAAATGAAATCGATGTGTGTATCTTACCGTAACTGGAGAAGGGGAAACATCAATCAGTTTTCCCGATTCAGTGGAATTATTATTTTCTGGCGGTAAAGTTAACGAAAACTCGCAACGATGATACATATTAAAATTATAATGCCCTGGGTAATTTGTGTGTAACACAAATTTCTTAACACATTGGGTTTTGGCATCAAATAAAACGTCCTAGAAATGATAACATAATTTCAGATACCGCAATGTTAGTTATCTACTGTCAAGTGTTTCCTGTAAACACTTACCAATCCTAAGGTAAAATAATTGTAGAAGAAATCGGATCGTCTTATTTTATCGCGTTTGTGCGCGTGAGGACTATGAATACGCATCTTGTCCTCTGCCTTAAAGAACACACGAGAAGGCGCGCCCAAGGCGCTCAGCACATCTTCACAGGTATCACCAAATAACACCTAAAAACGCATACCATTTTCATTGTATGTTACTGTACATAAATAAACTATAAAATGCAACCTCTTTGGTCAGGCAGTGCTTCTTCGGCTCCAGTAATACCCTGGTTACAGAACTACCTTCTGTGAAGAGATGCAGCCTCAGACCTCGAGTACGTGTCTTATCCCGCATAACATCTGCCTTCTCTAAATACAAATTATTGTGATAGCAGACCTACCAAAAGATGAACACATAGGATCAAACTTGTCTTCATCTGTACATGTACAGACATAGTATTAATCTAATCTTCATCTGTACATCTACATACAGGTATAACACGAGCAACAAATAATTACGAGAGGTAGAGGAGGTGGTGGTGCTTTCAAATTGTGTTCATCACTTCCGCTTCCTGCAGCCATGTTACCAACATAAATGGCTGTTTTTGCTACAAGAGGAGAAGTCCCATTTGGAAATTGTAATGACCCAAGTCCATGCGCGTATCCAGGTTGGAACTTTGAGTCAATGGGGAAGTAAAATGACAAACCTCGAAAGTTTAAGACAAACACCTGAAGAGAGGACACAATTTTAGAAGTGGTATTTAGTTTTCCTTTCTATCCTTTTTGAATTGTTAGTAGCATAAAAATATCATACCTGCTTGTCACTATCATAAACACCAGGATGAGTTGCTCCAAATGAATGTTCAATCTGTTCAATAGATGGCAAGACTTCTGGTGAATTGAAAGGGAGACCACAGTATTTGAGTTTCACTAATTTCATATTATAAATTTCAATTATCTTGAGCCTTTGCACTACTGGGTCAAATATAAGCCGAACGCCGTCATGAGGTAAATTTATCACTAGATCTACATCTAAAGGATTCTGTAAACCGAATTTTAATTCAACCAGAATTACACAGAAAAAAAATCACACCGTCGGTAACAGCTATTTATCTAATGCTTTTATCAGTATATATACTTACACTATCACTATAAAGTACTTGTACTCCCCTTATAATGCCCACTTGGGATTGTATTATTGACACAGACTGGGAAAAATGCATACCTAGAATGACAAGAAAATGAGAAAAAATGAGCTCTCATTCAAGTATCTAGTGTGTTGCATTTTTTTCATTGTTCCCAATTATGCATTATCTCATATTAAATGCGCAATTAACAAGTGTCTCATGTGATTCCATAATTTTGATTTAGGTATCTCTTTAAATTTCGGGTGACAGTATATCCGAGGGTCTATTTCTGATAAATTGTCGGTCTAAGAATGGATTCCCAGGCCAGAAAAGGCTCAAGAAAGCTACGGTAGCTGTCAACAATTACATAATGAGCAACAAAATATTCATAATAAGCTCCATTTTCTTTGTTTACGCGCGATTGTCGGGGACGGGGTGTTTACAAATAGAACGAAATAGCCGTGTGCGAACGCTGTCATGACAGCACCATCAATAAGACGCACTAGAGACAGATGAAACGATGTTCCCGTCGATCCGTCTCAGATTTCGCGGATCAATAGGATCTAGATTGAACCGTTTGAAAATTACGCGTAATACGGGATAGGCTGCGATACATTATGAGTGTTTCGTCACTTGCCTAAAATAAATTCCCACTGCTCGCAGCCGAGGGATCTCTCGGGCACCACCTCCAGCTCCAACATTTCTACCTTATCCCCCTGGTTCCTTTTTACTTAAATAAACTGGAACGGAACGTACAACGCGTCTCCAACTATCATGAGAACTGCGTTGCCCCTTTGTCTACGTATCGCACTGTTACTAATCACCAGATAGCCATATTGCTTCCCAAACAATAAACCTCGACACTCTGCTCACGGCTGGCAAACTGTCACCCGAACAGCTGATACGTACCGCGGATCACGTAAAATCAAACGAGACTACCGACCGGTCACTTGGCCATAATGTTTTGATGATGAACTTCGTTCAGTGTCCGTGAGATATCGCTGGATCCCGTTCTAGATCGTCGCGGGACCATTCGATTCCAGTTCCTTCCGGATCACAGTGGTATGATAATACTGCAAGCATTATGGATTATGGTTAACAGAGGTTGAAGAAAGAAAGTATAAGTATTTAAGTGATAACTAAAGTAACACTACATATACTAACTTCACTCAACATTGTCCATTATAGTTAACAGAGACTGACGGATAATAGGGTTATAACTAAAGTTCTATCGTAATATGCTAATTGCACTCCCGACCGGAAGTCGGGTCAGCCATGTCTGAACGAGACATGGTAGTCAATGAGTTAATTAGCTGTAAGGTTGAATGAATGTCTTTTCGACTAATGAAGTAAATTGAATTTGATCATAAATTTCTTCAGTTTTGCACCAAGGAGAAAATTTAAACAACAATATTGTATATACTGTACTTTATAGTATACAAGGTACTGCAAAGTAGCAGATATCCATTTTGTAATTGGAATTGTATGACACCATGAAATCAAGCAGCCTCTCAAGCTCCCAGATACCTCTGGTGGACTCGATAATACGAGAAATGCATGAAATTTGTGTCGTGTGGTTTCCGAAAACAAATAATGTAATTTTCCATAATATAAGTAGGTAATTAATGGGCACACTGTGTGCCTATGAGCCTATCTATACGTTCACCCCACGATATTAATCACGTGTACAGATACGTTCAATTGCGAGAGCGAAACTGACGCGACATGTCTGAGATTTTATAAATATTCACCGCACAAAGGCGTAACGCGATACGCGTTGATACCAGACAAGAGGCATTATCATTCCCAGAAAAAGTTCGCGACCAGTTACATAAATGTCGCATAGTTCCAGAATAATAACGCACAGCTTCTAGCAGTCGCGTAAAGTATTAACTAACAAAATGAAATCGCACACACATACACACGCATGTAGGAACATTCAAGTCTCATAGTTCAAGTATTTGCAGCATTGATAATTTTTCTATTGAAACGTTCTTGAAATACAGATCAAATTAGAGAAATATATTGTCAGATTGATTTGGCCAATTATTTTTACGAAATGATTCGACACGATAGACAAATACTAGAAAGCTGAAATTGCCGCGCTCTCTTAGCCAATACACCCAATTAAAGTAAATCGTCCAACAAAAGTGTCGATAGAGATGCTCTTGCGTACGAGGCTCCTCCAGGGTTAAAGACCACAGATATCTGCGACCAGCGTCGCGGGGGTTCTTTGATCGTAAACACATATGAGGCAACACCGGACCAACGGAGAGACGAGCGCAATAAATAAGCTAAATGCAACACGCAACGTATAATAAAATTTGCCGGATCGATAACGGGCTCTTCCATTCGAAGACAACGTAATTCCAGAATCGCGTGAACCACCTGGAATTTGAAAACTTTTGTAGAGGCTAAAAAGGAATGTGAAAGGAACATTGAAAATAGAATTGTCACATGTTGAAGAGATTTAGGGGTCGAAGAAAAGAGAAGAGTGGAGTAACCGGAAAGGTGAAGGTTCGCACCGATAGAGAAATTCCATTAACGGGAATACTTCAGTCTTATGAAATCGCTGTTAATGTACATATACATGTATATATGCAAATCGCATGGTCGTGCCTACCGGGTTATGCAATCAATAATGATAACCGTATCGCAGGGCATATAGCCGAGCCTCCAGATACGTCAACCGCGACTTTCTCGTCGATTGTGTGCGTGATACATACGTGTATCGTTGCTGAATTTGATTACAACCTCGAGACAACAGGTCAGCGTTGTCGATGATCCGAAAACGGAGAAAAGTATCGGATGGAGGGGGGCGAGCATTTCCCAACGATTTCGAATGTAACTGGCTCGAACCGGATATCGATATCTTTACACCCGTTGGTCGATCGTATCCCTCCGTAATGAATACTCATAAATATTTTTATTCCGTAGAGATTGTTTGTTGCAACACTTGATATATTGCATCAAAATTGTTACTATGCTCGCTGAAAGGCATAATATTTGCAAATTATAAGCATAACTTTAAACAAAGAATGTACGTGAGTCTCGTAATTCGGCGTAAGAGTGTAAGTCCTGATCCAAGATGGTGGTCGTAAAAGGACGAAAGAAAAGATGTATGGCGACGAAAGTTCGAACCGTATTTAAATACACAGTACTTTTACGAACGCTTTTAGAACGACACGACGAGGGGGCACCCAGAACCAGGAGATTAATTTCAATCGGCTGACACGATCGCTTGACACGACAAGGTCCACAGTTTCAACCACTGACACTTGCGGAAGATTCAAAGGGGTCAGGTGGATACTGTCTACCGCAATCGCTTGGCGTTGCATGACCTCGAGTCTGTATAGAAATTCAGATGTTTTATAAGATCAATTTACGGAACTGAAATTACGTTAAAGATTTGTTTCTTTGGATAAAAGTTTTTTTTTCTTGATCCAACATGGGATCTCTCGTACTGGTCTTCATAAAACTTTCGACCGTATTATGTTTTTCACGCACACATATACAATTGTAAATGGAATGAATTTTTGATCATTGTCTCCGGACGTCATAACAACATTTGACACAGTCTAGCGCAACCAGTAAGCGATAGCACGAAAGCTTACCAATACCGACGACCACCGACGAGTTCAGCGAAAATATGTTATTAGTAATCATCATTATTTATTGCACTGATACACCGTCGAACAGAAAATAACAATAACTGGAAAATTTGTTTCCAGTGAATCGAGAATCGTTTCTTTCGCTCAATATCACTGGACAGAGAGTACCTCGGACCTTAAATATGTATTGGAGGATGAATGTGAAAAAAAGGAAACAAGTGGATTTTTTTGGAAAGAATGATTCTCATTCTCAATACGAATTATTTCTTTTTAAATGCTAATATTGATACATATTTTCAGAAACCACTCAGAATGTTAAAGATCCAAAGATTCATTTGTCACAAGAAAATGCTGACAGCACAAATATCCGCGATAGACAAAATCATTATATTCTCAACTGAAAAAAATCACTTCAGTCGTGATCCTTCTATCGGTGCCAGACGTTTCGCGAGACTTTTGACGTTATACATATATGTATACAATCGTCTGCGACGCACTCGCACCGCCTCTCGTAAAATAACGATTAATTAAATGCGTGGGGCGAAGAAAAATGGTGAACGCCGATAAACTTGTCGGGAAACGTCACCTTGGAACTAGACACGAGTATATCGTAACAATGAAAACAGAGGCACTAGTAGTCGACATATTTTTTTGTCCGGGATGTAAGTTGAGACTTCATGGGCAAATTCCTTAACATAACCGAACACAATCACTTAATCGCTAACATAATTTTCACGGGAATCTTGTTCCAGAAAATGAATCATCACGATTTAAAGAACCGATTCTAGGCCACAAACGAAGTTCGAAGTTGCTCGAGAAATCTCTGTAAACAATAAAATTTTCTGTATTACGCACCGGTCAGCTTCGATCAAAGTACAAGTTCTTTTCTCTGAGCAATCTCTCGCCTCGACATGGACTCTCGTTTTTCGTTTTCATTCGCGAATTACACCTCTTGTACAATCGAACATACTTAGTCGATCGATACAAAGTACAGTTTCCTATGATACATTAATCCGTGACCCCTTATGATGCAACATTGTGTCTGGCCTCACTAGGAATTCTTCCACATTTGGGAACATTTTACCGATACGTTTTATTGCTAACCGAATCTGCCAGGAATTTTTCAATGTTAGATAGTGCATATACTTACGGAACGTGAAAGTATCACTAGAAATTCTCCCATTACGTGTCGATCGCAATTCGCGTTTTCGATCCCGTTACAATGGAACGATGCATCTTGCCGATGGAATCCGCCACTGGCTTGGTCCGTAGTTCACTGTCTGGTTGCGATAATTTATGAATCCCACAATTCTCGCGATAACGTGGCGAATCGACGAATCTATTCGAGTGGTTAGCAAAAAAAAAAAGAACGGTGTGCCTCGTATCGTTCCTTTCGCAAGTTCGTTGCATTTTCTCGACTGTCGTGATTTTCCATTTCTTTTTTACGACATCATAAGTCATAATCCATCCCTTGACTAATGAAAATATATAATTATGACACCTATAATTAAGACAATAATCGAAGAACATAAGGAGACAAAATTCTAACATTCTCACGATCACGATTACGAAACCTGTACGTTATTCGTCATATCCAACGACGTTTTGATTCGAACGCTTTTTTATTCTTAACGCTTTTGAAACATTTTATTCTTTTAATCTCGAGAGCGTTGATTCAGTTCCGATGAAGATTTAGGATCATTCGGATACTTATATGTACTTTGAACTAACGATTAGATAGCAATGATTAAGAAATACAATAACGATCGACGTGCAGGTTGGTAACAGTTCCCAGTTAACAACTTTTGATGGGAATTTGTTTTCAGAGACTTCTTCGGTAAAATCTTGTACAATGGTTGCTAATTAGTGTCGTTGCATTACGACTTGGATCGATATTGCACTACTTATCGCGTATCAGGAACAGTTGTCTCAATTCCTTTGTATTTACAAAACACCGACATACCGTCGATGCCTTCCGGTGCATTCTATAGTAACATTCAATCCTCGACTTTTTATCACCAACATCTGATCATCTAACTGACCGTCGATTGTGTTCGACTGACCTTTCTGTAACAAACTCTGACACATTGATCTTTTCCAGGAACATCGGAATCGAACGACCCAACGCAGAATAGAGGAATGCAAATGAAGAGGTTCTCCGATCTTCTTCGTGTTTGACAGATCAACAGCAATATGGATAGTGAAATTGCTACGTGAATGGGAGCATGGTGATCGATACGAGGTTCCGATTCATGAATTAGAAAGTATGCCACATATTAGTTTGAAAACCAGCAACTAACAAGCTGCGGTAATCGATCGGCTTCTTGCGTTACCGATTTGTTACTTCTCGAAACGTGTCCTAAACATCGACTCTCGATGGTAAAAAGTCACATTCACGTAATCATCGTTGGTCCATGTGACCACTGATCACGTGCATCCCCGTTTCTAATCGTAAACCACCTGGATCATATACCACCCACGTTTCTAATCGACACCACCGCGGGCCAAGCTTCCAATCCTCGAGGTCATCCCACCGCGCCGTTTACCTGGCGCCACGAGCCTACGAAAACAATGCGAATACCTTGACGATTATCATCGCTGCGCACGAAACGATATATAACCTGGCTAATAAACACCACCGGGCCCGCTCAGATAATTAACCGTGAGACTCGCGGTACCCAGAAGCGTAGCTCTCCGTCAGTCCGCGAATAAGCGGCCGTGCCGCGGTGAGCCAGATAGCGGGCAAGGGAAAGTGTTCGCGCAGAAATAGAAGAGCAAGTTGTGCGGCTACTAAAGCGCTTTCAGTGTAAAACCCGACCGACCGACCCCGACGCTGCCGATTTCGTTTAAATGCAAGCGCGTGGGCCGATCAAACGCGCCGCGATTGCTTTTACTTCTGTGGCACCCGGTGGACCGCGACAGTCCACCAGTAACCGTAGTGGCGATCGACCGTGTTGATCGTGAACAGCAGTATCAGTCTCGTGGGTACGCCCGTTTTCGACCGGTACCACCTTTGGCCGCCACCAAATCACGACGCGCTACTCCGTGGGGCGTCCCGTAAGAAGAAGCGATCTAGAAGGATCCGGTAGCATAGGAGGCTTATTTTCGATGTCCGTTCATCACAGTCCTCCCAGTCGTCTGTCGAGGCTACTAATTAAATCTCCCCAATAGTCATCCCGTGACAAGTTGGACCACCAGTCACGTAACGCGCGGAATCTCGATCTCCACGCGTACCCGTCATCGATTTCCCGCTTCATCGTTGTAAGTGACCCACTGTTCTGCATCCTCCTCTCTATATTGTAAAGGTGCAAGCACACGCACGAGGCTAACGGGTCACGGACATCGAACTACGATCCTCGAACCCGCCAGGCTGGTACACGCGACTGGTCCAGGCGACCGATTCCGTTGTCACCCTGACCGCCGTGACTATTGCCCCACTATCCACCGGAAGTGCAACCGTCGGCCAATCCGCGGAACGAACCGTTAGAGGCTCGTCGTTACCTTTTGCCCGATCCTATAAAAGCGACCGTTGGGAAAGATGTCGGCAAGAATCGATCCGATCCGCTGGTCAAGCCTAGCTTGCAACAGGCTCCAGGCCATCAGGTGTTATTCCGTCGTCGCTAGATCGAGAGTTTGCTACCTTGGCATCACCAATTCGGTCAATGCACTAAAGACCGGTCTGCAGGCGGCACGATTCCCGATTCTGACCCATCGGATCATTTCCGCGAGTGGATGCGTCGGAATGCCTCACGCAGTCAATGTTTGCTGCCCGCGGTAAGTACACGCGATTCTGGGGTTGAATTACGGGTACCGTTTCGTTTCGAGGATTTTAGGGTCACCATCGAATGGAACGTGACATTTTTTGTAATTAATTTCGCTGAATTTTCAATAATCGTCGTATTGTCGTGCGAGGTTTATGACTGTTTCAACAAGTGTTGGCCTGCACAATTTGGTCTACTTCGCGACACTTAAGGTTAACGAAGATGGAAGTTAGTGGAGAGTGACCAAGTAATTGAACTATGTGACGAGGGGTGAACATGTTGTCGAAGATATTGCTTACTTCATTTGTGAAATGTAGAGTGTCCTTTATTATTCCTTATCTCGAACGAGGCGTTAAGACGAGGTATCTTTAGACCAAAGAGCTTAAGATTCTATCAGAGACGTCCTCCACGCCGGTTCTGTTAAGTTTCGTGAAATCATTGCCATGTTTGCCAATGTTCCCGTAACCGCCAGGCACATTGTTTCGTGTCATAGCATTAATTTCTTTACATGCTTATCATAGAATCAATATTCCGTTCGAGGATATCATGGAAAGAGCAAAACTGTGCCTTTTTATCGCGAAAAATGACATATTTTGGGAATTCTTTCGATTCCAAATTCCGAATAAATTTCAATGTACTTTGGAATATTTTGAATCCTCCTTCAAACAGTTGGCGGTGGTGTTTAATAATTTCATTTTTCCTTTCGTTAAAAAAAATATTCATAATACCCGAGAAAACAATTCAGATATTAAATTGCATCACGTCGCCGTAATTAGTGATTGAAACGAGGAAAGTACATAGCATAAAACCCGTTGACACACTGAACCAGAGAAACAGGCACTATCGTGTGGCACATGTTTGCTAACGTGAAATTTCATTTTTTACCTGGGCAAGGTCTCCACGATGATGAAGTGAGAGTGGACCGATCGAACGCACTTAAACTACGGCCCGTTGAAACCACCTGTTACTGGACCGACGGTGAACTGAGTTTTACGCTCTAGTTCTCTCTTTCTTAATCAACCGATGAGTAGAAGCACTTGAACGCTATTTCGAAATGAAACGAAAATTCTTTGTTTTTCTATTTTCATCCATCCTTGTTCTTCCTTTGACCTCCTGATCTCTTTTACAAGATTTTAAAAGTCGATCGATTCTTACAGAGTGACCACCAGGTTCCTGGTGACTCACGCAGCGAAGAACCCATCCATCAGCAACAACTACGACTACATCGGCAAGACACCGCTCCTGAACACCTTGACGGAGCCCCTTGCACCGAAAATTCGCTCCTATATCGAGAAATGCGCGGCCCTCTGCCGTCCCAGGGACATCTACATCTGCGATGGCAGCGAGACTGAGTACGATCACTTGTTGAATCTGCTGGAGAAAAGCGGTACCATCACGCCGTTGCCAAAATATGAAAATTGGTGAGTTGGGAGGGACCGAAAGACGAAGAAAAAAAAAACTTTTCATTTACAGAAAAGAAATCCTAGCTAATGATGCTGGCTTAGTCAATACTGAGAAGATTTACGGAAATAGAAAGTAATAATAATAATCGTACATCTCTATATGGAGTTTAGATTGCTGAAAATGAATCAGTAGAATTAGAACAGTGGAAACTATGAAACTATGTCAAAAAATGACTAATATTACTTGGAGATAATGTCACGCCACAATTTTGCAAATGAGACGATTCTACGCTAAGTTTCACTAAATTGCTATAAACGATTTCGATTGCAATGAAAGATCTACATGCGTAGCAAATGCAGGAAGTCAGTCGCGTAGGTGACCTTACTTATTTTGACTTCAGTTGGCATTTTCCCAGCTTCTCTTTAAATAACACTTACTTTATAAGGTTTAGATGATATAGATAGAATATATGAGTTTCCTGTACTATTTCAACATCACCAGAATACTTGTGTCCCCCGATGAATCGTTTTGTTAGTAAATGGCCTTATGGAAATCGCGACTCCTAATCATCGAGCGTTAATCTGTGTATAAATGTTAATACTCCTGATCTTAAATATTTTCAATCGAGAGAACTTTAAGCATACCCTATCATAGTTCGATTCTGTACCAGAATTACGTCTGACTCGTTGAATTCGATACACAGCTGGCTGGCGAGAACGAATCCAGCGGACGTGGCCAGAGTGGAGAAACGCACGTTTATCAGCACCGAATCGAGACGTGAAACGATTCCCATCCCTCGCGATGGCGTCACTGGTGAACTGGGCAATTGGATCTCCCCTACCGAAATGGACCACGCGATCCTGGAACGGTTTCCAGGATGCATGAAAGGTCGACGACTATTTCCCACGAACTCCAAGCCTACGACAAATCTTCTGAAACAGTTCTCAAACCAATAATGTCTATTTCATCAGGTCGAACGATGTACGTTATCCCATTCAGCATGGGTCCAGTGGGATCTCCTCTGTCAAAAATCGGCATAGAGATCACCGACTCCCCGTACGTCGTCTGTTCGATGAGGATAATGACCAGAATGGGCAGGGAGGTACTCGAAGCACTGGGAAACGACGATTTCGTCAGGTGCTTACACTCCGTCGGTGTCCCGAAATTGGACGCAAAGGTGGCCGTCGTTCCGTCGTGGCCGTGCGATCCCGAAAGGACCATAATTCTTCACAAACCGGCCACAAACGAGATCGTTTCGTACGGTAGCGGTTACGGGGGCAACTCGTTGCTCGGGAAGAAATGCTTCGCTCTGAGGATCGGCTCGACGATCGCCAAGAGAGAGGGTTGGCTCGCCGAGCACATGCTCGTAAGTAACACTCATGTGTAACAAACTTAGCACCGTGGATATCGATCGATCGTACACGAAGAAATCGATACGTTCGATCGGTGACGCATTGTAAACATTTCCGTACTCGTCCGTGTCTTCCGCCCCTTGAATCTTTCCCCCCGTTTAGCTCGTTATTACTCTGTGCGTCCGTTTTTTGTCACCGGTCTAAGAGATTCTGTATCAGTTACCTTTTCTAGATACTGGGTGTCACGAATCCGAAAGGTAAAAAACGTTATATCGCGGCCGCGTTCCCGAGCGCGTGCGGCAAAACGAATCTGGCGATGATGCAGCCGAGCCTGCCCGGTTACAAGATCGAGTGCGTGGGCGACGACATCGCCTGGATGAGATTCGATCGTGACGGGAAGCTGCGCGCCATCAATCCGGAGAACGGTTTCTTCGGGGTCGCACCGGGCACCAGCCGCGGGACGAATCCGAACGCAATGAGGACCATCTTCAAGAACACGATCTTCACCAACGTGGCCGCGACCAGCGACGGCGGAGTATTCTGGGAGGGGCTCGAGAAGGAGATCAGCGAAAACGTCGAGGTAAAACTGTACAATACGGTATAGTAACGACAACATTGAAATCTACCTGGAAGTCCTGACAAGAGCAAACTTGAAAGACTGAGAATTGATCTCACGTTTCATGTGACGTCCTTAGATCACCGACTGGCGAGGCAACAAGTGGTCCAAAGAATCCAAGACACCCGCCGCTCATCCGAATTCCCGATTCTGCAGCCCTGCAAGACAGTGTCCCATCATCGATCCCGCCTGGGAGGATCCCGACGGTGTCCCCATAGACGCTATACTCTTCGGAGGACGAAGGCCCGATGGTGTTCCTCTGATCTATCAGGCACGAAACTGGCAACACGGCGTCTTCATTGGAGCTTCGATGAGGTCCGAGGCGACCGCCGCTGCTGAACACAAGGTGAGTACTGATAACGGAACTCGAAAAGGTTAGTTACTTTTGATGTAGATTATCCACGTTTAAATTTCTTACGGACCAACTGTCTATGGTAGAGGCTATTCTTTCGATGAATTCCGTGCGATATAAATGTGTCACTGTTCTTTTCGTGGATGATGATTTTTCCTATAAGAGATTAGTCACGGGAATAGGTATTCTCGTTTCTCTCGGAGGAGTAAAGTGTACTGCGTTTGACGATTAGGGAAAAGTGATCATGCACGACCCTTTCGCGATGAGACCGTTCTTCGGCTACAATTTCGGCCGCTATCTCGATCACTGGCTGAGCATGGCCGACGTGCGGAACGCCAAGCTGCCGGCGGTGTTCCACGTGAATTGGTTCAGAAAGGGAGCAGACGGGAAGTTCCTCTGGCCAGGATTCGGCGAGAATTCCCGTGTCCTGGACTGGATCCTTCGCAGGATCGACGGGGAGGACATCGCCGTGGAATCTCCCGTCGGTCTTCTGCCGAGATTCGATTCGTTTAACTTGGACAGCATGGAGGACCACGTGAGCATGGATGAGTTGTTCAGATTGCCAGGAGACTTCTGGCGGAAAGAAGTCGAAGACCTTAGAACGTATTTTGACGCCCAGGTCGGGGACGATTTGCCGCTGGTTATTTGTTCTGAGCTCGATCATCTTGCCAGTAAGGTTACCATGTTGGAATAACGCCTCCTTAATCCTTATTGTTTCTTCAAATCGAATAGAAAGGGACGTCTTATGTATGAAGCCATTTTGTCTCGTGATCGTCTTTGGATTACTTCCTTCAAATTTTGGGGGAACCTGAATGGGTTCTAAAAATTCGTGTTAGGTCGATAGGCAAGAATTAAAATTTCTTTAAAGTACGAGATTTTTCTTAGCGCCCCTGAGGTATGCCGACACCTAACTGTAGATTGATTGTGAAATCCTATTTTTTAACGTTCAAGAAGGTATGTACATCTAGTATTACAAAAGCTTCTCATTGAATTATCAAACACCATGTTCGTTCATTCATATACATATATATAGCGATTTATTGATACGGTTTTCTTCAAATTACATACTTGAAGTTTAATCTTCAGGACGAGTATTAATCATAGACATTATATAGTACGTCTATGATATCAGTGAGTGTTTGGGCTACTCCTTCATGAGAAAGCGTATGAGTGAGTAAAATAATGCGCGGATGAGCGTCGAGTTAAACCTGCCCCACTAATTGTGATAAAAAGAGACCATGTACTTTGGATATAATTTTCTCAATAAAATGTTATGAAAACTAAAGAACTTTGAGTTCTTCGCTGTTACTTTTAAGTCACAAACAACTGGGGGAATTTCTAATCAAACATCCGTTCTGGTTTTAAATAAACACACCAAGGATACATTTTGCTAATCATATTTATTGACCGAACGACTTTAATCGTCTAAGTACTATCAGTGAAAGACTTCGTATATAGGGACATTTAAAACTGTACATTTGTATGTATATTACAGGATTATTGCGGTTCGTATACACATAGAATTAAACCTTTGCGTTTGTTTGGAAGTGAACTTACATAAGGTTTTAAAAAAACTATCAAGAACACTATGCCGAAATTTAAGTTTACATATATTTCACGATCCATTGTGTATTATACGATTAAAGATGATACTTAAACAGATTAAACCATCATAATTGTTCATTATACTTGTACGGTTCTTTTTGAGAAACAAAAAGATCGAAAAAAATCTCCTTATACAATTACGCACTTTAAAATTATTATGCGATTTTAAAAAGAGTAAACGTTACAACTGACGACTACTCAACGAGATCTCTATCGAAAATATTGCACTTCCTTGAATGGTTGTTCCCTTCGTCACAATTTAAAAATTCGTTCAAAAACAAACGTTTAGATAGTAACAATAATTTTTAACGTAATATGCTAATGTACCATTCTATTACGAAAGTTAATAAAATACTCGGCAGTAGTAATTTATAAATTAGAAGATCGTTACGGCCTATATGAAAATGGCTTTGAAATAGAATTGTATTATTTAGTTTACCAGACTGTATTCATCAGCTTTTGTTGTTATTAACTATACCTGTTATTTTTCCATCTTCATTTAGTTCGTAAGAATCGTATAGTTTTAATAATAACAATTATATATGTATATATGTATATATAATTTGTACAATTTAATTTCCCTACTTGTATCGATTAATTCTTTGAATTTGTTTAAGTTAATTATTCAAGAAATATTTTGTGATACAGATATACTACGCGTTTGTTTATGGTGTTTAATTTTTTTTTTAGCTTACTATTAGAAGACAACAGTCTGTGTTGACTTTTCTATATTCAATTTCGATGCTACTTTCCTATTTAGATAGAACACGAATTCTCGAATTAAAATTAGATACAAGTCTACGAAGAATCACAATAATATTCATTTCGATCTTCAATAAGATCCACTAATTAATATACAATTCTGGCATATACTTTGAAGACTAGATCCATAGATTTATCATCAGATATTAGTACTTTGCACCAATTTCGTTTTATAATTGCAATTACACACAACTATGTTCATTTCCTAATTTCACATCCTTCTATTTTACAGTTAATATAGTACCTACTGTACAATTGTATATTATATTGTTTATAGTAATTAATATAGTTGGTTAACAAATACATTTATAGACTCCATACACAAAAAACATATTTATTATTGCCGTTCTTATGTTATGATTCGATATCTAAATCTTTCCATTGAGTAAAAACTGTTTAGAAGTCATATGACCATACATTTTATCCTTGATGCATCGGATAAAACCGAAATGTTTATGCAGTAAATAATATAAATCTTCAAAACGAATACCAATTCTGTGTAAAATGTGAAGTCATAACAAATATTTGGATCAATAATATAATCATGAATATTACATTAAGTTGTATTATTAAAGATAATTGACAACGAATGTTATACTAAATATTTCATGTGAAAAGCATATGTTTGGTTTTAGTTCACTGTTTTTACAGGTTGTTCCAAATTTGAAATTTATTTGCTCGACTGAGTCAATAACCTCGGATAAAACCAACTTGAGAAAGAAGTATAAAAAGAAATAATCTTTACTTCGTTATTTCTCAATTTTTATCGTTGTATGCGAATCGTGAACGTCAATTATATTTTAAAGTATAGTACCAACTACCTCAAACTTTGCTAAACTTTGTCTACGTATTTCATTACGATTGTTAATAATAAGTCTATAATGCCAAATGATTAAATCTGAAAATGCCAATATGTATACAACGGTTGTTTACTTTCGTAATTTAGAAAAACCTTTTCGAAAAATTTAAACAGGTACTGTATGTTTAGTTAGACCGCGACCAGCAAAATTTTGACCTGGAATTCAGGTAGCCCATCCCTTCCTCTGCGACGTTTTGTAGATAAACTTGCAGTAACTGGCCGACCTTCGCAAGGAAACGACGTTTTCAAGTACGAGTGCTCTGTATGTGACACGCTTCGAAGCAGTATTCTTAAAAAAGAACGTTTGTGCACACGAAAATATCGACCGGAATAGGGAAAATTTAAGTTTTTCTATTAATCGTGTTTAGTCATCTTCGGCGACTACTTGAACGGAATAATTCACCGGAAATTTTATGACAGCTGCACCCAGGTAAAAATTTTGCCGTTCATGCTTTTACTAGACAGACTGCAATATCTATTTTCACAGTAAAAATATTCAATTTCAATGTGCGTAATATAGTTTAAACATTGATATCTTATTAGATACTGAGAGTCTTGAGTAAAAGAAAATTACTGTTACTGGCTTTTCAATGAAGCCGTTTTGTCTATAAGACATTATCATATATTCATAGAATATACGTATCTATAAATATAGATAATGTGAAAAGATATTATTTAGAAAGTGTAGAGAGCCTTAATTTTTCATAAACCTTTGTTCTTTAAAACAACGATTTCGATTAGCAATGCCGAGTATTACTATAAATTTAAACTAACTAAATATCGGTATACCTTACAATTAATTTAAAAATCCAATTCACGTGTATAACTTGAGTCTTTCGATCTAAGAAAAATCGGTATATATGAATTTTTGTTAAATAAAATCTCAGGTACATACTTCTCAGCCATTGTTCTTCTTTACTAACGTTCCTAGTGCTCGTGGTATGCACGACGGACACAGAATTTCCGGTTTAGACGTCTCGGATAACATTTTCACTAAGTACTGAGCTGTATATGGAAGAATCAGCGAGTCTGATAAAATTAGTTCTGTTTCCATTGTCGGAATCGCTTCGGTTTCATAAACAGTCATTGGAAAATGATGACCGCATGTAAATACCATTGTGTCCTCGTCAGTCGCAAGGAATCTGTATATGGCATCCGGATCCTAATTTCAAAAACATCATTTTAATACAAACTATAGATAATACTAAAAATATCATTTATAATATACATATATGAAGTTCACCTTAATATGTACAAATGATCTAGAATCGGGAGTCTCACAGGATACAGTACTCATAACACCCTCTATCATTTGCTTTGAAGTATTATTTCCACTTGTACCAGGGTATCCAGTGAGTGGAGGCCCATAATGGTCAGCCATTAGAGAGGACAATAATTTAATGAATTCAGGAGTAGGTTGGCCTATAACGAGAAAAATATTTAGTATGGAATATACTTTAAAAGTATAATTTTTAATACTTCACGACATGAAATTCGAGTTACCTTGGCCGATATGATGTAGTAACATGGAACACACTTGCAAACAAAATTTAGAGGAGAAGTAATTAATCACAGTCAGGCTCTTAACTTCCGTGTCATTCTTATTAGCATCCAAGTACTTCTCCATTATTTCTTGACTGTCAAAGTGTTCGAGGCAATTAGTTAAGATAAAAAAAAATATCAAAAAACAACTTATATTATATCATTCCTACCAAAATAATAACAATCCAAGGGGATAAAAAATTGACTCGATATGATCAAGAAATACGTTCTCTATACTCTGTATTGGCAGATCGTGTTCTATCCAGAAATCCAAAACATCCTGTAATATTTTACACTTGACCGTGTCTGTTTCGTTCTCCATTTCATTTATAAAGAACTTGGCCACTTTAACAGCTTCGTTGGTCACACTGTCTTGCCAATTGTTTTCAGACGGTTCGTTATGATTTATTTCTTCCGTTGTAACAGTACTGGAAGCTACCGAATTATCGTCAGTGGCTGCAACTGCCTTTTCTTCTCCACGAATAATATCCTCCATCCACTCTTCCGAATCGGAACCCATGTCAGAATCAAAAGTATCTTCGAAAATACCTAAAGGAGCATTGTCACATTTCATTTCTCTGCACAATTCTTCTGAGCCACCTTGACAATCAAACGTGTACAATTCTTGTTGTAACATTTGCAAGCTGTTCAGTGATTTACTCGCTGGGATTTTCATCTTGTTCTTGGCGGCACAGTCTTCAACGGAATCAATCAGATTCTTTTCTACCTGCTTGTTAAATAGTTCAGTGTTCTCTTTTACGTGACGATTCGACGAAGACTTTTTTCTTGAGCCAGAGGTTTCATCAAGCCTACGCTCTGTTTTATCACATGTACTTTCCGAAGACTTTGCTCTCAAACAAGTTTGTAGACTTAACGCATGCAATATTTTCAATTGGTACGACAGTGCATCGGAAATGTTATGTTGGAGCATAGCTATCTTTGAGCATGCTTGATAATTTCCTAATTCGATGCACTAGAAATATATACACTTTAGAAATTTAGTTGAACACCTTGAAGAATGTTATAGGACAATATAGACTAACCTTCTCCATAATTCTAGAAGAATCATACAAGCCGGAGAAATAATCCAATGCATAATGCAGCGTCAATTCACCCGGTTTTGACTAGGCACGTCCAAAGCAATGTGCGTGCTATTAGGGACTCTCACTACTCGCTTCTTAATTAAAACAAGCTTATCGTCCGCATCGCGCGTATCTTTCGGAGGAAGGCGACCTAATTGTGCTCTCCTGTTGTTGCCCCAAGCCATGATTGTACCTCCTAAAAGAATTTGCAGTAAAATGTAAACATTTCAATATAGCAACCCGGCTTCTACGATTTAATACTGCACAATTTTTATACCTGGTTGGATGGCAATTGTATAATCATATCCACAATAAACTCCAACAGTTTTAATTACAGGATTTACTGTTTCCCTGGATTCGTTGCCTTCCATCCGAAAGGACATATCTTCACCATTAACATTTCCGTTTCTATCATTCCTTGCCACATCTAATCCGTGTTCTTCGTCCCCTCGTTCATAATCATTACGTCTTGGAGGTACTTGTGCAAAGATAGAGGCAGGATTGTAACATAAAGGTGTGGGGATTGTTACCTCCCGTTTGCTACCATTACCTATCTGACCATCCAAATTTCTACCCCATGTGTAAAGAGATCCATCCCTTGTCACAAGAGCATTGTGATGGCAACCAGTCGATATCTGTTGCAACGCGTATAAGAGACATTAAGAAACTGAACGATTGCAAAAAGTATCGATAGTAATTATTTTCCAAACAATTGCATACAGCGAAATTTCACCGACCTGTAGGATATCTGCTGTCACTAAACTGGTATCTACAATGGATGGCTTTAAATGCGCCTGGTTCTCCTCAAGTGATCCAATATCAACATTTTTTAAACACATGTCTATTTGTTTTCTACGAGACCCTGCACTGCTTCCGGTTTTTTGTTGTGCAGTTTTACATTGCACACTGCTCTCTGAAACATCTTCCCCGGTATCGTTCCCGTGATCCGTCACCTTCTCGAATTCGTCAATATTTTCAAACTGCCTCACGATAGCATCCCGCTGCTCCAATATCCGAGTTCTCTTTTGTGTTTGTGCTTGTAGCCTAAGAACTTGAGGACTTGCTCCCCATGTATACAATCTATTGGTATGACTAACGGCAAGCTGTGGAGGATACATTGTATGAAACAATACCCAAAAAGTACGGAATATACAGATTACATTAAAGAATACCAAAGAATACGACTTACATTATGGAAGTATCCAGACGCGATTAAAGATATCTTTTCTGGTAAGAAAACTTTTATTGGCACTGAACTTTTAACATTACTTCCTACACCCAACTGTCCGAATACATTGCACCCGAAAGCGTACACAATACCCTCTGTTGACAGGGCCAGTGTATGCGCATGGCCGGCGCCGATACAGCGTATGACTACACCAAGTAACGATGTAACTAACGTAGGTGTCAATTTCGCATCGGTAGCGCCATGGCCTAACTGGCCATGAACGCCCCAACCCCATGTAAAGACTCTACCGTCAGCAGTCAATGCAATAGAATGATACTGTCCAGCCACTGCATCGACGATAACTTCTTGAGATAGAGAAGTGATTAATTCCGGACTCGAAGATTGTAGAACCTTGCCTAAACCCAACTGGCCAAACTGGCTTGATCCCCATGCATATACACCATTATTGGTTACTGCCAAAGTGTGACAGTGACCACACGATACACTGAACACTTCCAATTCCATACTTCGAAAGAAAAATATTGGTTGAGGTGTACCGTATCTCAACAAGGATGGACCAGTTCCTGATAGACATTAAAAATATAATTCATGCAATGGAAATAAATAATGGACTCATTTGCAGTCATTTACCTAAACAGCCCTGCACAGAACTTCCCCACGTATATACGTTTCCATTTCTAATAAGAACAACATGATAGAATCCGGCGCACAATGGTCTTCTCTTAAAATCCACGATACAACTAGTCCTGTTGTCATCCTGTTTGAAGGTACAATGTTTCAATAATGTCGTGATTTCGTATTAGAGATACAAAATATATACAACTTTAATTACCTTTTTATATGCTAGTAGTTCAATATTGCATGTAAGAGAAGGTTCTTGAGGTAAAATAGACTTCTTATAAATCAAAGTCAATAAAACGAGTAAAAAAGTTTCAATAATTTCCTCAACTAATGTGTCAGCCTCCTCCTAGGGAAGAATAAGAATATGTTGATTATACATTACTTTTCTTTGTTGCTTCTTAATTAGAAAAGACTGTACTTACATTTTCCACGAGATCTATAGAATCGCATTGACTAGACTGTGAGCTGTGTGAAGTTGTTCTATGGTGCAATCTGCAGTGTACTATTCTAGGTCTTATCACTGGATTCGTTGGATCATACAATGTCACTAATCTCTAGTATTTAACAAAAGGTATGAGCATTAAATTGATCGATCGAAAGTTGAATAAAAATATCTGATTAAGTAGAAAGAATCGAATCTTTACCTGAAGTACGAAAATTTGCAATTCTTGAAGATTATCAAGAATAAAGGACATATGACTTCTAGCTAACTCAATATTTACTAACATTGCTTGCATCAAACTTGGTTCACTTATGCATATTAACAAACCATCTAAAATGTAAAAACATGTATATAGTCATGCACCTAATTTCTAAAGTCAATGATGTATCACAATATACGTTACATGGCGTTGGAAAAAAATTGCTTGCGCTGAAAGTATGTATTGTTTTCATGAGTACTTCCAACATTTGTCCATAAAGACATTTCTGTGTTGCAAGATGATGCAACACCTCCCACAAACACGTTTGTCCAGCAATATTAATTGCTAATAATTCGTCGTAGAAAGAGTTTGTAGATAGGAAATACCTGCGGTTCGAATAATTCTTATTAGACACGATTTATGCGTTAATATACGTACATAATTTTCGGATTCTTACAAAAATTCTTTGTAAATAATTCTAGACTTCTGTGATGGAACTCTTAGTGTCATTTCAATAAAAGCCAGTACGCATAAGTTGGAAAGGTGAATTCTCGTTGTAATAGGCAATTTACTGATTGTTGGAGATGCTAAACAATGTGTGAGACAACTTAATAGATCTGCTGTGTACCCAGCAGATGCACATTTCAACACACTCTTCAATAGTCTGCACTAAAAAATATAGGCGAATAATTATATTAAGATATGAGTAGTAGTAATTCTATCAGATTTTCCTTTGTGTTGTATTTACTAACTTTAGAAAGTTTGTAGCAAGCCACAGCTCGTGAAGATTGTTTATTTGACAAAAGTATATCACCAGCTTGCTCTAATAACTGTTGTGCATTAATACCAAACACTATAGCCAATTTTATCGCTTTTTCTGGATCATTGTCCTTCAATACTAATTCCATGAAAATTGACAACACTGACTTTCTGTAAAAATACAGTCGATTGTAATTTTCTGTCGAAGCAACGAGACGTACAAATCTATTATTACCGACCTTAAAGCAACTTTATATACAGAACGATTTGTCACAATTATACAAGTATCCACATAAGGTAATTCAATTTCAATATCTTTTACTCCCTTTGGTAATGTGTATTTGTTTCTAGATTCTTGGGAAGTTGTTGGTGCACTATTGGTAAAATCGATAGCTCTGTACACAGCGCGTATCACTTCTTTACTACTCACTAAAGAAAAGTGACCAACAATGCACTCTGGATTAAATTTACAATTATCATTTGAACGAGTTTCAGATAATCTGTCTGATATTACATACATTACACACTGACTGGTATCAGTAATAAAGAAAAAACGTTGAGTTAATAAAACATTTCTACAAGATTCAAATACTTTATGTACCGATAAGGGGACAGTAGAAAAATCAGGTCCATGTATCTGTAATAATACAGCCGTTTGAATATCATGCTTATCATTATTCTTGAATATTTATAAATGACCTCTTACTGTTATGTGATTTGTGAGAATATGGTAACATGTATACATCTGTTGACCCTCCCTATCAGACTGAGAAATGAGGAAAGTTTCTTTCGATATTGGTTCAGGTATCAATTGATCCTGATTAACTTCTGTAGATGAGTCAAAATTGACAGTTGCATTATGAGTATTTCGGTTACTTGTGATATCTGTAAAATGATAGGTAGACATTGAGTAAACTAATTTGCATAGCTTTATAACTACACACAAATAAATTATAGTATTACAAACTTTCACCTAAAGTTTGATTTTTTGTTTCAATCAGCTTCTGCCTGAGTATAGCAAGTTTCTCTACTGATAATTGTTTGAGTCCCTGCAGTCTGGATCTAGTACCAGCAAATGATCTAGTGTTGTCATAGATGTTGTCATTTGTATGCAATGTGTTGTACGATTCCCCATTGTCTAAGTGACGTAAACAACTATAGGTATGTTGCTCCAAAAGTAATCTCCACTGCTGATTTGACTGACTTGTTATCAAGAGAGACACACTATCATTACTTTCATCGCGACAAATATGGAGACTGGTAATGTTTCCACTGACATGAGTAACATTCATCTGATGACCAGTTCCAAGATTTATAAATATTATCTCTCCATGTTCAGTCCCAATAATACCAATTTCAGCAGGTGTTGCTGTATCATGCCACCATACTATTGCAGTAGGCCTAAAGGTGTTAAATTATAAAACAACTATAAAAACAGATACTATATCATACATTCTTGCTCAAATACAAACTTTGAATGAGATGATTGTGAACTAATAGAAGGGAAAGATGTTATATCGTCACTGGTCCATCGTTTATCTATGTCACAGGTCTCATCAACCAGACGCAATGCAGGAATTAGATACACTGATCCATCAATGCTTGTAGACAATAACCAAGTTCCCAAAGAATGAAAGCATATAGCTGAGATTTGCTTGTGAGACCCTTGGAACCAAGGGATTCTCTTAATTATTGGAGCCAATATTGAATCTTTTTTGTAATATAGAAAGATTTCTGAATTTCCAGTTGTCAATGCCAAGAATAATTTCTTTCCATGTTCACAATGAGCACTGTGCTGTATTTCTGTTGCTTTCATAAGACATTGTAGCTTAAACAGGCTCTCTTCTGTCAAACTTGTCATTGGCTCATAGCCCTCTGTCCCTATTTCTGAGATCATTATCTTTGCAATTACCAATTGATCTAATACTACCTGAAATATAATATATGATGCTTGAATTTCTAAATATGTACATACTGCTTCGCATTACTACAAATTATAAATATTTTTTCAAAGTATGAACAAGTTAAATTTAAAATTGCCTCGATTGAAAATTATGTGAAACACAATCTAGATGTTCAAACATCTATAAAGGTATGTTACGAATTTCCGTTAAATATAAATATGCAGATCGATATAATTAACAGAGCTTAGAATATGCTTTGTAGATTATACTTCTTGAAAAGGAGACGTGGAAAATTTGTGTCGAATGCGACGTACATTATACGTTACCTGCTCTTAGGATCGGGTAACATAGCGATTAAAGTATTTAGGAGGATATTGTGTGGTGTTGCACCTGTGTTTATGTGCTCGGAAAATAATATAGCTGACCAGGAGAGGAGAGCTTCGCCTCTGAGGAAATTCTTGTTGTGCTAAAAATAAATTATTGCAAAAGGAACCTAGACCAATTGTTGCATCGTGCATTCCGCTCGAACGTGATATTCTTTCGTGTAAAACGAACAAGAGGAATCAATTTAGTTACCAATCATTACATTTTTACAATAACACCGCCGTCAAATTTCCAAACGTCAGAATATCAAGGTTAGATTACATATAATCACCGGCTCTACCAGAATAAGAAAGCTAAAATTACTATGTCGTTTTGAATTTCGTAATTAACGTTTCGGACCACCACCTCCTTCAATTTTGTAATATCCCTAGATATACAGGATACTTTCGCGGATAATTTAAACTTGAACTATTCAATTATTTCTATAACGTTCTTCTTTATAAGATTCTCTTACAAACTGCCAAATAATCATTCGATCGAAAATTTTCATATAAATTTAAAATACACGAATATTATTCTATTTATAACATGTGTTTAGAAACTTCCCTAACAGTAGTCATATCACCGACTAGGTATAAGATTAGACCTATCATCCAATGCTTTTGGTCTTTTAGGAAGTAGTAAAATCTTTTACACAAATTCAATGAAATACTTTCACGTACCCAGTTTAGGGCTATAAAATTAGAATGTTCAAGAAGAAGTAATTTTTAATTCTATATAAGTAAAGTATAGAAGTAAATTATAATTTCTATCTTGTGGAAAATGATTAAATGTCAGTTCATGGAGTTTCAAAGAAGTTTCGATTCTATTACTTCCGAAAATAATTTATGTTTAAATACAATCGAACTTCTGCAACACGTTGCATATAATTACAATTATTTGAAAAGTACGAATTATATTGCCCTTGAATGAATGTAACATGTGTTGTGTACTCCATGAACCATTTATTTATTATCTTTTCTCCCGTATTTCGAAATGTATAGAACGTCAATATGAAATGTCAATAACATTTTTTGTATTATTTGGTAAACACAAGAGAGCCACCTGTAATTTGAATTAAAAAGAAGTCTGCGTCAAAAACAATAGATGGGGATTCTATCGCAAGGATGACAATTGAACGTCACTATAATTAGTAACAAACATTGCTCTGACGGGTGCGAGTGTTTCCAGTAATATTTTTAATTAAAAATTGGAAAGGAAACGTATAAAAACGTAATAAGCATAATTGCTTCAATCCTAATTATTTGTTACACATATATATGTGCATATATTAATATAATTTCTGAAGATCCATGAATGTTTTACTATTCGACACAGCTAACAACAGACGATCGTGCTTTGTATCTCAGAAAATTGTTAAAAAAGTAATTGTAAATAAATTCTTTATTTTTCAATAATAATCGTTTGAATGATAATCTAATTATTAATTCTTTTCTGAATTTTGTAGTTATATAGGTATTCAATTTAAATAAAGTTAGAGGTTATACATTTTTTTCACCTCTTTCTTTATACTTTTTAATACAAACAAAACCTAATATTTGCTAATTATTTAAACAAAGTTACTGTACATCATAGTATCAATGTTTATTTTAATACACATAATGTTAATGCTGAATATCATGTTTCAGATTCATAGGTTTGATTACATACATTACAGTCTGTGTTTACAATAGAAGTTCCATGATGGCTGAGTTTGCACTAGAAAAAGTAGAATTACATACTGACGTGTACATGGTATGCCTCCAACATGCTTTATCAACAGAAAGTTTTGAAGTAATGGGTCTCTTGATTGGAAATGTATGTTATTATATTTTGTTATTCAATGTAATTTTAAATCTTCCTTACATGTCTGCAAAAATAAATCTATCCCTTGATGAATAATTTATTTTAGACAGAACATGGGGTTGCAAAAATTGTTGCTGTTATTATTTTACGACGCTTGGATAAAAAGAAGGATAGGGTAGAGATTTCATCTGAACAATTACTGAAAGCTGTTGCTGAAGTAGATCGATTGACAGAGAAATTAAACTATACTGTGCGCGTTCTAGGGTGGTATCATTCACATCCACACATCACAGTCTGTCCATCACATGTTGGTAAGTGTACTTACTACATACTTATTAAATATAATGGCTGACGGATTTTGTTTTGATAATAAAAATATGTTTTCAGATGTTAGGACTCAAGCAACCTATCAAACAATGGACAATGTTTTTGTGGGTTTAATATTTTCAGTATTTTCGGAAATCAAGGATTCTAAGGTAGTGTTTACAGTGATTACAGTGCTTTTCAATGATTGTACTGACAATAATATACTTTTGCAGGAACAAGAAATCTTTTTAACATGTTTCCAATCGCATAATGGCGAAGCAAAAGAAATTCCATTAGAAATTGTTCATACACCAGTAATATCGGACAGGTGTTTAAAGGTAAATTCTAAAATAACATACTTATTTCTACTATAAATTTCATGTATAAATATTTAATTTGACTACAATTTAGACAATGACAGAGTTGCCAAAAATTTTGGTTCAAGAAGAAGAAGAAATGGCAGAAACATGTAAAGACAACCGGGACATTCTTGCAAGTATACATAATAATGCCGGTCAGTTCAATCATTTCAGTACTTAATAATTTCAGTTGCAACCACAGTAGATAATATATCCAATTATTATTTCAGTAAGGACTCGGACGTTGGTACACATAACAGATATAATTACCAAACCATTGGTATCAACATTCGAGAAGAGAATAGCTTTAAATAAATTACGCGCCGCTCATCTTCGAAGACAGTTACAGGAGTTGCAAAAAGTTTGCAATGGATGAAAGTTTTTGTTGTGATTAAAAAAAAGAAAAACAGATATTTCGCTTAACATGTACAAATCGTAGAGTTACTTAAATAATGAAACATGACTGATTTCTTTTCTTCTTTCTTTTAATTTCAACGATTCTCTCTGTTCACTATATGTAAGGAACAGACAAAACAAACCCTTCAGTGATTATTTTTATTTTACTTTTCACGAACAAAGATCCGGCAATTCATTGCACAGTTCTATATGTACACTACGAGAACAACAGTGTATCCTTTTAATAGACTTAAATGTATTCAAAACACGGATTCTGCAGAACGAGAAAGATGTATAGGATGAGAAGGACTACGCGCTAACCTTTTGCGAGGCAACTTTTCCAAAGTAGTTAACAATTTTGCGAAATCGGGACGATTTTCCGCATGGTATGACCAACACAGCATTAGGATGTCCTGTAAATATGATGAATAAGTTGATATTAAAAGAAAGTTTACGTAAACTTTTGAACATTGAAGAGTATCATTCTAGGCATTTCTGAGGCAACATGGAAATATTTAAAGAGGCGATGCCTAGAATGCTGCTCTTCGCTGTAATGTTCAATGTAACTGCACCTTTACATCACGGGATGCTTGTAAATTAGCTAAAGTTTGCTTCATCCCTTTGCCAACTTGCCAAATGATTGCTTCAGGAGGTTGTCCTTTAAAGGGCCATTCTCCGCATAAAAGTTCATACCACACGGTCCTATGATAAGACAATCAATTTAAGACATATGAATAGAAAATACCATAAACACTCATTGCATTATACTTAATATCTACATTACTTTGAGATGTTGTATGTTGACAATCAATAGCTAGAAAATTTTATTAAGAATAGAAAAGAAACATAATTGATAATTTCAATTTAATAACTAAATTATTGAGTCAATTCTGTAATTGGATTAATACATAAAGAATTTTAAGAAAAGTTCGGTGCTTTGTAGACTTACAATTGTAAGATAAAGATATATTTTACGATAATTTGTTATACTAACCCAAATGCATAAACGTCAGAAGCTTCTGTAAATGGTAATTCTTCCTGATCCCGATTCTGTTGCGGTCTCAGTCGTCGAACAATTTCAGGAGCCAAATAACACAACCATCCAGGCGGTATACTCAATGCATTTCCTTGCCTGATCATAAACAAAATAAAAGTACCGAACGTGAAATTAACAGCACGGTTCAATAATACAAATGGTTTTTTTAATTTAAATATGCACCTGTTTCCGTAACAAAGTTTTGTAACGCTAAACAATCCAAAATCGGTTATTACAACTTTCCCGTTCTCTAAAAATATGTTTTTGCTCTTGAGATCTTTATGAATTATACCACGAGCATGAAGATATCCCATTCCCTATATAATAAGAAGCTTCATATGAAATTTATTAAATTTGTAGTACAACAAATTCTGTATAGAACAATAACTCCAGGATTCGTTTAATGTTCTTTACACGTATATACCTGAGAAATCTGTTGAGCGATGATAGTAGTTTTATTCATATTAAATTTATCTTTACGTAGATGAATGTGAGTGTAAAGAGTCATGCCTTTGCTCATACTAGTCACTATCGCCAAGCGAGGAGGCTTCATGCAAGCTCCCATAAATAAAACTAGATTTTCATGTCTAGTTTTTCGGAATGTAGCCACCTATAAATTTCAATAATGATCGTTGTGATATTACGTTCAATTTTTAGATGAAATCCAACAATTAATTCTCCAAATAATTATGTTCCAATTCAGAATATCAGGTTAATATTATAACCATTCGTAAGCAAAAATATAAGCGTTAGAACAAGTGATTCTTAGTAATACGAATTTACGTTTTAACGCGAGCAAAATATTCTATACACATCAAAATTAATGAAAGCGATTCAAGTGTAAAACAAATAATGTTCACTGTACCTCTAACTTGAATGCTTCCAGAGTCTTATCATCATCTAAATAATAGTCCATGTTCAGGACTTTAATCGCAACATTACCATGCCAGTAGCCTCTGTACACTGTACCGAATCTTCCAGTACCTATAGGTTCGCCAATTTTCAATTCATCGTAAGGAATGTCCCATTCTCGCATCGACAACTGTAATGTATATTATTTAAACACGATAGTACTTCGGTACATTTCAATTATCTCGAAATTACGTACACTATTCTGTCGTGGCCAACGACTGTCTCCTGGTTCTCCATCGGAGACCTGAGAATCTTGAGAATCAACCCTCACGGGTGTTCGTTCAGAGTCTGTGCTAACGCTGCCAGATCCGGAAACGCTCACTGTTCTCTCGCTATCACTCGACGCAGTTGTACCTTCGAGTCGATGGGTCTCTAACGTAATACCTTTATCATTGAGCACGACGTCTAGAAGTAAATCTTAATAAGTTGCCATTCTGTAGCAGTACAATGTGTTGTTAAAACAATCTGGTACCTGGAAAATGAAATTGTTGCTTGGCAGGTGCCTGTGGAGTTTGGCTAGTATTGGCAGGTAGCAAAGCTGGACTAGAAGGCGTTGAGCTGTTGCAGCTCGAGGTATTTGAACTAGAATCCGCGGCCTAATTAACATATACATTCATAAACTATTATACACTAAATATTCTGGATCCTTTTAAAGAAGTATTAAAAAGTACGTTAAGCGACAGTTAACGCACCTGAAAAGGTATGTTCACAGAAGAATGTGGATGCGATCGTTTTCGATCCCTTCGGTTCAAAGAGCTCAACAAATTTGAATTATGGTGATTGGGAGACGTAATACCAGGTTTACTCAATATTGGAGAAACATTTACCATTCCTAGAAATATTAATTTTAATCATTTATATTGAGAGGTATCTGATTTTCATGGTAATAACGTACCGTCGCCTTGTACACTTCTTTTAAACTCGTCAAAGAGTTCCTGAGGTAGGCCACAAGAAGGAGGTACTTTAGATTCGCATTCCCGGTGGCACTTATATTTACACTCTTTGCATTTCAGACCGGTATCCATAAACATTTGCTTCTCGCAATAATCGCACGTCGTCATCATTTTAAACGTTTTGGTAAAGCGGTGAGCAATTATATGGCCCATTCCCCGGGTTACAGTCGGAGTACGCGGTGACTTTGGCACTTGGAGACTTGTTACTACGGATTGGAAAATTAAGAACTTTCCTATATGTGCATTTATAAACAAAGCATTGCCTATTATGCACAAGAATTCTATTTACCTGTTCCCTTAAAACTGTTATCATCGCTTTCTGCACTAGAGTATGGTGGTGACTTAATAGGACTATTACTATTCAGCAACAGACTTTCCCCTGTAATGTCTGCGTTACTGCTACAAGATCCTGTCTCTGTAGGCAGACGATTTCTTCTTCCCACAGAGCCAACAGGATCATTTCCACAACTACAGAAATTACGAAAGATTATCCGACAAATATCTAGAGGCTTTAGACGAAAATTGTTCGAAGTTAAACTACCTTGAAGCGGTATCTCCATTTTCAAGACGGTTTGCTAATTGCGATTCATGAGATTTTGACTTAGTCAATGGAAACACTTCTGGTTGTGATATTGTATTCTGTAAACCTATTTGATGTTTCTTACAGGGAGGGGGAGTTGTTGGAAATTTAATTCCTGTTGTTAAAAAAAAAAATACAAATAAAAACATATTGATGCTTTATAATATAGAAGATGGATACAATTTCGTATTCTACATAATACAAATAAGAATAGGGAAGAGTGTAATACTACTTACCACGTCCTGACCTGTGTAAAAGAGGGGTAGAAGGAGGACTAGTCGACGATAAAGACGTAACGGAAGAAGCTTGTGCTAATATATCACTGTTAAGATTATTGTTGTTGTTATGATATGGAATGCTGTCTTCTGAAGGAACAGAACATCTTGTTGCACGCGATCGGGCAGGCCTAGGAGATGCTCCAGTACGTAAATGGTGTCTATCCCAGGAATCCCAATACAAATTCATATCACTATTATCCATATCTCCCTTTAAGAGAACATCTAAAAAAAAACAGAAGAGAAAACATTAATACTACAACAACTATATATAACCAATGTTGCAGTGTTATGATTTATTTATTTACACTTAATTGAAAATTTTCATATGCTTGAAAACAAAGAAATGCAGACATTCAATGTGACCTAAGTAAAAGAATTCTTACCCATATACCGACGAAGATTGTGCAATGCCCTACAGAGTCTACGTAGTTCTTCTTCATGCCTAACATTATTTTCCCCCAACATACTACCCAACTCGTGCTCAGATTTCTCTTTGAGAGCTTCAAGTGAGTTAGCTTTAGAACATACCATCTGAAACCAACATAACTGTAGGTAAATTGATCTACTTCAGCTCTGAAATGAAAACATCTAAATGTTATTTTTCAAGAATTATATGTACCTGTATAGATTCTTGTGTAAGTCCCACTACACGCAACCATTGCTGCAAAGATGGATACTGTCTCATCTCTGCAGGCAATGCTTCTACAGCCATTTTGGCTTTGGTTACTAGTTGCTTCGAATATAATTTGATGAGCTTCCCCTAAAATACAGTTTTAATCAGGATCCATACAATACAAATTAAGTTGAATAAATTCTACTAAAAAAAAATATATTGAAATACATTTCCCACACAGAGGAAAGCCAAAATTCTGTAGATCTCCTATGTTGCTTATTATCATCACTAGACTTGCAGATATTATGCACTTATAACATAGAGGATTGTACAAACCACAGTGTAATAAATAGTTTTTCATAAGATTTAGAACCGCATGAAAGTTTTTGCACAGTGAATAATTGTCTTTTCGAATTCAGTTTCTGCAAATGAATCTATAAAAATATGAATTTGCATGAACATCCGTAATGTTTAATGATCACAAATGTACGTTACAACGAATAAAAACGATGTCTTCGAATGACTGTTACAACGAGAAAATTGTCAAACATTCGCGCGCTTAAATTTCCAACGTGAATTTAAATCCGTCAGTAGAGAAACGCATTTACAACTTGTTGACAACCGCACGGAGCAGCCCTTCATGAGGTCAAGGCGACCGTGGAAGAAGGTAACAGGACAAGAACGATGGAGGAATCGAAGATGTTCGATTTTCATCTTTCGCGATACCTCGAGCGTGCGAATTTCCTGTTGCGTGAGTTCCGCGCTGGTAGAACATTGGGTCCTCAAGCCTTCGAGTCGATCAGCGGAGATGTCAATCATGGATTGAACGACATCCAAGGCTCGGCGGATCTCTTGTTCCGCATCTTCACCGTCCGCCATCCCGTACCTCGATGACGGCCCCCTGTTTCCTTGTCCGCGAGTTGGGCCTCTTATTTCACAGACATAATTCCGCTCGCGTCAGGCCTGTATCAGTCGCGGCTTTATTACTGATTCCCCGTGTAACCAAACCACTTATCAACATTGACAACCATCTTGGCCGCCTATCAATGACGTCAATCGGTGCCCGACAATCCGGGATCTCAGCGCCTTTATTCGAGTGACTCTCCTGCGTTCTGCTGCGTTCCTAAAACTACACCCCACTACTCCGTCAAAGCAGCGTACACGATGTACACTGTAAATTCTTACCTCTTTACTGAGTTTTATTGAGTTTATGCATATATTATAATAAATATATTGTAAAATCGAGTACATAAGTAGTATTTAAGACAATTATTGTTAACTTTATACAAATATAACTGTAAATTGTACATTTTCTAACAATTTTTTCAATAATAAACAGTTAAATGTTACATAAGCGTTGTTTACTAAGCCTATCACTTCCTCTATCCCATATTTTTTATTAATAAAGCAATAATAATTGCTAAGTACAGTTAAAATCGCGTTAAAAATAAGATTAATGTTAAATTTGGCACGAAATTTGAATTGACAAAAGCGCGGGAAAAGTGCAAATTTGTTAGAATTCATGTCGCCACCAAAAGTAGTGGTGGGGTCATAGAGCCCCCGGTGGAGGCGACAGAGACCCCGAGTAGTGATAGCGTGGGGTCATAGAGCCCCCGATGGTGGCGCCAGAGACCCCGTATTGCGAGAACGTGGGGTCACAGAACCCCGACAGGTGGCGCCAGCGACCCCCGTGTGGCGTGATCGTGGGGTCATAGAACCCCCACATGTGGCGCCAGAGACCTCGTGGTGAAAGCGTAGGGTCATAGAACCCCCGGAGCATGCGCAAGAGTTTTGAAACGTGATCCTTTATCCCTGTTGCTCGTAAGAGTCTCGAGCTCGGTCTAATGTTGCTCGTGCAACTGTGGAAATCTGACTGACACTTGTGCATGCTTCCGTGAGCAAATTATATAGTAACCCCAGCAACCATGACGGTTTCTGCAGATACTACTACAGCCCAAGTTTAAAAGACGTAGGCAGTAGTTAGTTTCTGTAGTAACCTGTTGAACCAGACAACTATAATTAGTATAGGATTGTACAATATTTATGCAGTTATATTTAAGACAATTCGATGAAATTAAGCTTATATTACCTGACGTATGTTTATTGGAATATACATATAAATTATAATGATATAAAAGTTTGAAATACAATACGATGCGCTACGGTACAATACGTCTATTCGATTCAATTGCTCCCTTGCGACTACATCATGCTATCCGCGTTCGG